TTTTTTTTTTTTTTTTTTCAAGATTACAACCTAAAATGGTTGAGTTACCGTCCACTGTCTTACTAAGAGTTTTACTTAAACCAAAAATACAGACAGGGGTGGAAAAAACATATCTTTTATTTAAGACCTATGCATCATTTTGTTGGTAAGAACATAAAAAAGAAGCTGGCAAAATTTCATTTTTGGTCCATTATATTGGCCATTTTCTAGAAATGGTCCACTAATTTGGCAGACATCAAACTTGATACAATAAGTTGTAAAATTCATCATTTTTGGTCCATAAGCATACGTGGCGTTTTATCGGACGAATACGTGGACAAGTTTGATGTCCGCCACGTAGGCTCCTGTGTGATTAATGGACCAAAAATGATGAATTTTACAACTTATTGTATCAAGTTTGATGTTCGCCAAATTAGTGGACCATTTCTGGAAAATGACCAATATAATGGACCAAAAATGAAATTTGGCCCTGAAACTTCAATACATCCATCACCAGATAGTAAGAGTGAACAAAAACTGACCGCAGGACATGTTTAAGAGCCCTGAAATTTGTCCTTTTTCTGCAAAATTGGTCTCTACATCTAATTATAAAAAGTTTTATCTATATTTTGATATTTCAATTTTGCACTTGATATTTTATTTCTCCATCTTTAGATTGCATCTCCAAAAGTTCTATGTAGCCAGCATATGAAACACATATACTCCATTTCTATATCCTACCTCCAATTTGATTTTTATCTCAAAACGGCATTTGGACTAGAGATGTTAAACGGTTCTTGGCCCGACGGGCCGGCCCGTTTAGCCCGAAAAAAACCAGGGTTAGGGTTTTTTATTGGTAATCCGTTTAAATCAGGGCTTTTTAGGCCCGGACTGTTTAAACTGAAGCCCGTTAGGGATAGCCCGAAGCCCGCTAGGGCTGACCCGTTTAACTTGAGTTGGGCGTTGTAAATATTTGCAGCAGGTAAGTAATATACTCTTAGATTCATTGTATATTACAATTTTGATATTCTACTTCACATATAAGTATGAGTTGTAACGGATTATATTGATTTTGAAAGATAATTATTAAGAATATTATTATTTTACTTCACACCAAAATATTTAACACAATCAGAACGACTAATAGGAAACAAATGAGACAAAGACCTAACACATGAAACATAGTGATCGAATTTATAGTGATATAATATAGTAAAAATTTTCAATGCGTACAAAATAAGTAGTGAAATGATAATTGTAAGTAACAATTCGATTTTTTTTTTCCTTTGAAAAAAAAAATGTTATTTAAGAGTTTGTAGTATGTGTTCATATATGATGTGTAGTTATATATATAGAGTGGCAAATACTAAATACCGTTGAAAATAATCGTTAATTAGTCATTGTAATTTTTTATAACTTTTTTCTTTTTATTTTTGATAATTTTGATACATTTATTATTATTATTATTACTATTATTAATATTATTATTAAAGCCCGCTAGGGTTAGGGTTAGGTTCTTTTATTGGTAGCCCGTTTAAATTCAGGCTTTTTAGGCCCGGACCGTTTAGCCCGAAGCCCGCTAAGATTAGCCCGTAACCGATAAGGCTAGCCCGTTTAACATATCTAATTTGGACGATTTAGTTTTCAAACGTCTCATAACAACCTTAGCTAAATCTCATATACTGCCTCTGTAACGTTCCACTCGATTACACTTCAAAACCCTCTGCCTTCCTTCTTTTTCCCATTTCTAGATAATCAATTCGAAACCACATATAATTGCCATTTTCTTGCCCATATCAAATACATCATCTATAGTAAAATAAGGTCTATAATCACAACCGTCTCCTCCAAAATCTTCGAATGACACCAGCAATATATTAAGATGTATATTAGTAATTTTACAAGATATCAATTATAACTTATAACATGATAGTAGTAAATTGTAATTTATAAAATAATCAATTTCAACTTCTAACATAATTATGCATAAATTTTAATTTATAAGATAATCAATTTTAATCTATAACACTATAATTTCTAACTTCAAACAAAATAGAATAAATTCTAATTCATAAAACAATCATTTCTAATCTATAATATAATAGTTTGTAACTTCTAAGATAATAGCACTAAATTTTAATTCATAAGACATTCAATTCTGATATATAATATAATATTAATACACTCTAAATTATAAGATAATTAATTCTAATGTATAACATAATAATTTATACTCATATAATTTTTTTCATACTAGTATCATTTCAAATTTATACTAATTATACCAATATATTTTTTTCTACTAATATATTTATACTAATATAATTTAAATTTAAAATAAAAAAAAGCCGGCCAGAATCAGCTGGGCTCCCGCTGGACGACCGACAATTGCGACTAGGCTACGTCCAACGGGTCGGACTTTCTGGCAAACATTGGCCTGGCCGAAAGGTTCAGCCAGCTGGACCGTTGCTGGCCGCAGTCGCCGGTCGACCGGAGATAGTCTGGCAGGATTGACCAGTCGGCCGCCTCCCAACGTACCTTGTCAGAGACATTCTCTCGCCAAAAATTTTTGGAGGTCTTTTTTCGAAATTTTCGGAGCTCGGTTGGTGTAGAAAGGAGAGAAACACTTTTTTTATAAAGTGAAAAGGGCAAAATGGTTCTCCTTGCGGCGGTTTAGCCATGGTTCCCCCATTTTCCCGCCTTCCCCGGTGTTTGGAAGGTGGGGTCCTCTGGTGGCAGCTGTACGGTGGTGCGGTGGCCCGGTTTATGCGTGTGGGGTGCTGTGGAATGGTCCGGCCTGGGTCGGGTTTGTGATGTAATGGGAGGTGCTGTCGAGCTTTGTGGTCCAGATCTGGTTAGCCCATCAAGGGAGTTTCTAGATGCGATGTGTTTTTTGGGCCATGGATCTCGTGGTTTTCTCGGTAGTTCGCAATGGGTTTTTGCCTGGGGTGGGGTGAAGCTTGGTTTTCCTGTCCGGTGGGGGAGGGCTGTTGTCTTTGCTTTGTTTTAGGTTTAATTTTGTTTGTGTATTTGTGTTGTTAGTGTGCGTTAGTATTTTTTTTCTCCACCGTTAGGACTGTGATTTCTCCCGTGGGGAGTATGTATTCTTCAATAGTGAGGTTTTTTAGATTTTGTGGTTTTGTTGTGTGTTGTTGTCTAGGCTACCTGTAGAGGTAGACCTCCCCAATTCGGCTATTGAGCCGATTGTAATTATGTTTTTCTTCTTCTATAAACTTTATCGTTTGGAAAAAAGAAGAAAAAGAAAAAGAAAAAGGCAAAATGGTCTTTAGGGGGGACGATAAGTAGTAATAGGGGGCGATGTTTAGTAATTCGCATTTTTTTCTTGGTA